GACAGCGCCTTACATAGAAACCGCCAACCGCTTCACAGCGATAGACAAATCGACCACATTGTCATCAACCACCGCTGTCGAGAATCTATTGGACTGCCGCTCTCACTGGTCAACACCCATGAACACGGACCATGCGCTGTTACCAGCCAGATTCTCCCTACGCCTGGTTGATAACCGAAAAAAGCGCTAGAGGAAACGAATGCCTACAATACAATATTGGTGATAGTTGCAAACTGACATTTGAGGCGAACCTCTCTGATCGTCTTTTAGCTGAACTAACCACCGAAGGGCTCAGTGAACAGCGTGCGTCAATCAAGAAGGCTATCCAAATGGCAATCCAAACAACGGCGGATTCTGAAGCACAATCAGAACACAAATGATGGATATCATCGATTTCGGTCACCTTGCTGGACGCCCGCGGATTCGAAAGCACGCAAATTCCTTAAACACCAGCTTAATAACAGCCTGATGAATGACCGCGAGAAGTGGTTGGTAGGAAAGTGTAAAGAGATGGAGAAGACTGTGGTTATCGGTAATAGCTGCAATCTTTTTCATCTAATTAGAAATACGGGCTCCAGGAAAATAGACGTAATTGAGATTATTAGGAGTCTGACGGCCTACTGATTAATATTCAGCAAAGCCGTCTTGAACGGTGGGCTGAACACTTCGAGACTCAGTTCAACTGTCCCCCATCGTTATTAGGTCTGTCAACTCGTACATCGACTGTTCAACTATTGCCAGTTGACATCAGTCCTCCATGTAAAATAGAGGTTTCTAGGGAGATAAGTTTTCTCAAAAAGTACAGGACATCCTGCCCAGGCAGGCTGTCCCTATCGGTTTTTAAGGATGGAGGTTCAGCCTTGTTTTTGGAGTTCACGAAACTCCTGGGCTCAGTGTGCGAGAAGGAACATGTTCCAAATGAATGGTGTGAATCGATGAAGCATTAGAAGCCATAGAAAGCCTTAGAAGCATTGCTCGTGTCTGGTGGGAACATCGGGTGAGCAATGACGAAATTCGTCATCGTGTGCTGAGTACTGATAATTGTTCTCTAACTGAAGAAATCGTTCTACACTGCCTTCGATTTATCGGTCATGTTTTACGTATGTCTGCCTATCGACTACTTCGCCGTGCTCTCTTCGCACGTGTTGGGCAAGGTTGGAAGAATCTTTGCGGTGATCAGACTATGGTGTGGCGTAGAGGCATGAAGAAGCTGGCTTCAGCGTTGGCTTCGGTTGGTACGGCTTGCCTTCCAGGCTGGGGTCCAGCGAATAAGGATTGCCGATGGCTAGAGACGCTGGGAGATATGGCTTGAAATAGATGTCAGTGGCGCGGTTATTGTGCGGTTCGTTTGGCGAAACCCCGTTCCCCACAACAAAAAATCTTCAAAAAATGTACAGTGAAACTACAAAAAAGTTCCTTCGTTTTTACATTCGTTCCCCGTGTTCCCCATTTTCATCTAATCCTTCTGTACCCCTCCATAACTTCATTATCATTGTTTTGCATTGGCACAATGTTTGTTCTCAAGCCGGTGTAAAAAAATCGATGATCATACCGGATTTACTAGAAAGGTGACAGTTCCTCTTGTGAAAGCCGCAGAAGAATTAATTTGATCATCTCTAAACTTCTCACTGGTATTATGTTCCGTTGACTGTCTGCCCCATGTGAACGATGCACGCTTGAGGACCAGGCATGTTTTAGACCTGACCGAGTTTGTATCGACCACATTTTCACTCCTCAAATTTTAAAACACAGACTCTTTTCTTAGACCCATCATTTCTATCTTCCTCGATCAGAAAGCGGCTTTGGTATCAGTCGTCCTAAACTCTGGCGCTGCCTCTCTCCGAATGATGTACCTGAGAAGTTCATTTCAGTTTAGCGATCGCTTTGTGGTATCGGCCTAAGCCGAGTTTGACCTTACGGCACTTTTTCGCCCCGGTTCACTATAGAAAATGGTGTTCGTCACTGTTGCCCTCCGTTTCTATTTAATTTTGTCGTAGATTTAGTTCTTGAAACTGTCCTATTCTCGTTCCACTATAGCAGCATCGATTTGCTCCTAGGTGGTGGACTGTCCGATCTGGAGTATGCAAACGATATAATGCTACTAAGTAAAGATCCAAATAAGTTGCAAGCTTTTCTAGATAGTTTGAGTGCTAGTGTATCTATGTTTGGTATACGTTTTGCACCTTTATAGTATGAAATACTGCTACAAGATTTTGCTATCTGGGCAGTTATTTCTCACCCGTAGGATTCGTCGTAGATGAAGTATAGGCACCCATACAGAAGGCTTGGTTGGCATTTGCCAACTTGAGACATCTGTAGGGCCGTCGCGACATCCGGCTTTCAGTGAAAGGTCAAGTATATGCTTAGCAGTTGGGCCAATCCTACTCTACAGAGCAGCTACTTGATCATCACGGGAACAAGAAAAGAATAGATTTTCTGTGTTCGAACACCGCTGTCCTGGGAATTATGCTGTACAATAGTGTAGAACTATACGAATTGTCTAGCACAATTCGGCTCCACCTCTAATAAAGTATGATGTAGAAAATTCCGCTGCGCACGGTAGCACCTGAAGTAACGCCAAAAATAGTCACATTTGTTGAGAGGGTCTGTCGAGCAGAATACTGTGCAGTTCTCTTTGGTCACAGCATGTAGGATAGCTTCAAATATTGTTTGCCTCCAAGCTTAAGTAACCTTGCTTTATTTACTCTGTAGATTATCTGGAATGACCTTTCTCAGTAAACACGGTGCCTCGTCGTCAGAAAATGTCTAGTCATTGCTGAAGCTGGACAGGAGTATCATTGACACAGAACTCTCTATACTCTTACCAAGTTCACGTTAAATGGATTTACACGTGGCACCATGTTTGAAATCTGTGGATCTGGTTGTTGAATTCCTGAATGGCAATGGAGGAGAACATTTTTAGATGCAAAAGAGGAGCAATTTTCGGTAGCTAAGAAACATGAATAATAAATCAGAGGAATGAAAATGCTGATGATAGGTGAAAAACTGTTGCACAAGTTCTACGGGCTTTTTATCGAATCTCTAATTTCAGTGGCTTGTTGGTGTCAGGCAGACGAAGCGCTTGATGTTTGGTTTCACTGGAAATTGGGTATGACATACGTGGTCTTTGTCTGTCGAGAATAAATGCATGATGGAGGTGTAGGTAGATGAGGTCGAAGACCATTTAATTATTTTTTCAGACAGCTCTTCTGGGTCACAATAACCGGTGTTTTTAATTTGAGATTTTGAAAGAGAGGCACTTTCGCAGTCCTACTCGGAATCTATCATATTATTGGATAGTACTACCAAACGCCAAGCAGTAACGCGGTACGGGGCTCTTGAATTTTGTATGAACCAAATCTGGCTTTTATCCACCACTTGACACTGTTATCTTCTCGCAAATTCAGTCCACAATGCTCTTCGATTTTTACGTTTTAGGCGTGATGAGGCGTCCTGCGTCTAAAGTGGCCAACGGTGGACTAGTTGCCTATCGAAAATTGAAGGCCAAGGAGATTGTAGATCAAGCAAATAGGCGAGAAAATCCATTACCCCTTCGGCGGACTGATGAATTACCCATCCTGGACAATGTTCCGTTGACCGTTGAATGTTGTTATCCGAAATCGTGTTCACCAGAGCTGCTAGACGACATGCTGAATGTTCTCTACAACAATATGAAGGGTTTTTATGACCAATCCAGTTGGGAGTGGGATACAGAAAAAAAACGGGAAGAAGCATTCTCATCCAAGTCACGGCTTCTTATTTGCCGTGTCGCTGATACTGAGTTTCCAACCTCTACTGCAGTGGCTGGTTTTGTCAGTTTTCGTTTCGAACGGGAGGTGGATCGCCCTGTTCTCTATTGTTATGAAATACAGTTGCGTGAACAGTATCGTGGACGTTCGATTGGATGCTATTTAATGAACTTACTATTTTTAATTGCGAAAGATTGTAAAATGGACAGAGTGATGCTGACAGTTTTCAAATTCAATGAGCGAGCACTGCGGTTTTTCCGGGCCCTGGGATTTGTCAAAGATGAGACTGATCCGTCGAATTTCAAAGGGAATCCAAAAGTTGACTACATAATCATGTCAAAAAGTGTGATGTAAATAACTGGAGGTATTCACTTTTATTTTTGTTTTTTAATGACAATATCCTGAATTCAGAAATGCATTTTAAAAACCCAAACGTACTTTCCAGAGTGCCTATGTCATCAAATCTGTTAGTGGCACTTTTCATTGAACTTATGTCTCACATCGAATGCTGTGAAGACTTTCTAACTGTTGTTCAGTTGTTCTCGTGCCTGTTTTGGTCATCTTTTCTGTTTCACTTTGTCATTCTAACCCTGAGATTCTATGAATTTTACGCACATAGCAACAAATCATTCTTAGTTGTTCTTTCAGTTTGTGTAAAACGATGGCGAACGGAAATCCACATCAATTTTTTTGTCAGAAAGTTGTATGGCTGGCTGAATTCAAACCAGTGATCTCGATTATGCGAGTAGTTGTCAATATAATTCAATTCTGACGTGACTACTGAAAAGCATATACCTTACCATGTTAATTATCTTGAGCACCATACATTCTATCGTACGCAGAGTATGCCATCCAAGTCTGGAGTCCATCGTTAAAACGCGATCTTAAGATGCTGGACCGTCTACATAGGATTGCCACCAATATTTTCAAGGGATTGTACTGCATCATCCACCGGGGGAGGTCACAATCATTGGAATTGTATCCGCTGGGTGCCGCGAACTTCGAAGAGACTGAATTTTGGTGTATCAAATATTACAGAACCCAAAACATTCATGTCTTCTTCTGCTCACGTTTTCGCCCAGCGTCCATCTCAGAGGACATCATTTCACATTAATGCTTCCAAAGTATCACCGGGAATGCCGGTGTAAATCTTTTACAGTCAGATTATGCACTACTTGGAACGCTCTCCCATCTCACTTCTTTTGTGCGCCAACTGTTCAATATTTCAGGCGAAGTCTTGATGAAACCCTGACTTACCTCACATTCCTACACAACTAAAAACGCAAAACAGTTGCAGACTACCTCGTGCGTCATTTCCATACCTGGAACAATGTGTTGCATCTTTTTTTACCCGGAAACGAATAAATCACGTGAAATATCTTATGGGGACAAGATAATCATAATTTTGTAAGTGACTTCCACAATAAAAATTTGACTTTGTAATGAATATCATTGGCTTCCTTCTTCGAATGGCTTCGTCTGGATCCCGGCCTAGATTGCAGCCGAGAATAGGCGGATGCAAAGCGAATGGTTGCTGTCATATATTACTGAATCCCTCGGCTGGTATGCGATACTAGGCTCTTTACAATTGACCCATTTTCGGTTCTACTGTACACCGCTGAGCATCTTCTAATTGTTCAACAATGCGTTGTAATTTTCCGATAGATGAGAAATTGAAAACTAACTTGTTTAATCATTTTGCATTGCATTGTTTTGATTATTTTGGGCATGTGCACAAACTGTACTTTTCTAAAATGAGAAAATAACTAGGAAAAACAGCGAGGTAGCGTTTGAGTATTAGTAGAATGAAAAAAACAATTTTTAGCGTCCGAACTTTTATCGTTTTCGGCCGAGGTGGCAGCGTTTTGCGCAGAACATTTAAGAGGGGGGGGGGGGGGCAAAAAAGAAAATTAAGATGGCGTGGACGAGTGCGGCTAGTGTAATGAAAAATCCATTCACAATAAGTATTCACCGTGGGAAGGTGTATAATCGATAAAGAAAACAGCACTAGAAGAATAAAGACAGTATTGGGGTTCCTTCGTGAGGTGAACTGTCTAGTCGTTTCTTGTTTACCATGATCATCCCTTCTGCATCGCTCTTTAAACTACTCCCACATGAACAGACCAGTTCTTCTTCCAGCCGTACCTACATATACTTTCTAAGTTTGACTGTTTGTATGGTTTCGTAACACCAGAAATTGAATTCCTAGACCTATTTACGCAAATTAATCAAACTTTTCTACAACCAGTTCGCTCTTGGTTTCCGACTAAATTTGTTCTTCAAATGCCTGTCAAACGGTAGCCTCCCATATTTTTACAATCCGAGTTCCAACTACCCATTTCAGAATTAAGTAGTCAAAACATTAAGTTGACTTTCTGCCGTTTGCTTTGACAGCACTATGGCTTGGGGACCTTCAAATGCGTGTAGCATTTCACTTTCATACGAAGAGGATTCGTCGACATCAATGCGATCGCTTGAATCTGACTGGTACATACTATCAGAGTATTAACATACCAATTGCGTCCATCATTCAATCGAAAGAGGAGATAAATGCAGCACAAATAAGCCTCGCTTGATCTTTAACTGCCGTGATCCAAAATGTGTTGTGCGTTTGCCCTTAAGGCAATTTTTGACAGGCGACAGCTACAAGCTTCATGTACCAGTTACAAGGTCAAATTGACGATCCTAGTTTCTGGCATTTGTCTTATGCGTGCACACCTGTTTGATGTACCATAAAATGTGTTGTATTTAGTCAGTGGATGAAGCACCGAAAACAAGGTGTTTTCTCGTGATCAATCAGGAATATCTTCGCATATCTTCCTATCTAAAACCAGAGATAATTAGTTTTGTGACTCGTTACATTAAGGATGAATCATTTTATGAAGTATTTTAAAATCCTTTCAACGGTCTTGGGAAATTCAAATTGAAGCAAATGACGGTCCTCTGTGAGGAATATGTCCTCGATGTCGCAAAGCAGGATTTCAACGGACAACAAGAAGCAACATCGAACATCGTGTTCCCGGGAACTGTTTATTCGGTTTATGATGGTGTCATTTGTGCGGGAACAATTGCTCCAATAGAAAATTTGCGAGCAATAATAGCCTTCAGAATGAAAACCGATGAAACTGTAATTGGTGGTGTCACCCATAAACCCCACCAGACGGTATACGTCATGCAGTCCATTCCGATCAAAATACGGTGGTTGATTGAAGGCAAATAAGCGTGGGTTTCTCAAAAGATTAACTTGAAAAATTAGGGAATCGATTTCGAAAGTTTTGTTTATCCGTGAAAGTAGATTCGATGTAAGGGTTCAATCTGCCACTAATCACTGTATCAACTTGGATAGCTCGAGTGGTTGGTTTATCTATAAAACAACTGGTAGTGAGCGGCACACTTGTGTCGTATTACGGATCTAAGAGTATTCTCACAATTCTCTCTGAAGGTGATAAACACATTTAGTCGGCACTTGCCGACATGCCCTTATCGTACAAAGGTTCACATGTAGGCACAGTATATCATGGAAGTACATGGTACGAGTGCTAGAACATTTATTTTAATGATTGAAACCGGGCATTGTGTCCGGAAGTGTCAGTCACGAGTAATCCAAACTGATATATCTATTCTACGGTCAAACTGACTTTCGCTCAAAGCAACCGTAAGGTTTTACCAGACTGTTTGTGTAAACACGGCATTAATCAACTGTAATCCCGTTTGAAGTCCTAATCCGACTGTTCGCGGCTCGAATCCCAACAGGGATACAAGATCTACGCACGTTGACCAGTCCCAAACAGGACGAAACAGCTATCGAGTGCTCTTTGTCGGTCATCACAAAGTGTTCCGTCCCATTTAAACAGCACTAATTCATTCTCTGCCTGTAATCGCTTGGACTGTGGACAGGATTTTGTTTATCTTCCCTTCGAATTGAGTGTAGACTGTCTGGTGGATGATCTTGACTTGGCAACGTCGTACGAAGATGTGCAAAGTGAAATTAGAGTGACTACGTCTGGTTTTCCGTACTGGAATTCGAAAGATCTTGTAACTTTTGGTTGGAGACTACCAGTTATGATCGACGACATTGGTGTCTTTTTTTGTCATTTCTTATCAAGGTCGAATGGCTCCGTATTTTCGTATGCATACATGGATTGCGCGTTGATTTTAACCGACCCTCCTTCAGACTGCACCCTCACGTAGTCTTCAGTTATTCCAGTCAACTATGCACTCGGAAGCACTAGACTGGAGTTTCGCTCTTATTAGCGCTCATACATATCCACCGTCCATTCCAGACTTTGAACTCTGGACCCATCCCATGGTAGGCATAAGTGTATATTACCACTGCCAACCAGCTCATATCAGGGCTGAACCGAATTTCCATTTCATGTGTGTTCATGCGTCATCTTTAGTGCTAGTCAGTTCATTTTTGGCCGAAGGCTATGGTGCTCCTTAGTGTATGGTTGGCTGGAAGGATTGGGGATTGCATGAAGATTAAGTCTGAAGGATAGTTAGTCGAAATCAACAACAACTATCCCACACTACTACTCACAAGTAACTGTGAGTTAAATGTGATTTGATATGTGTTGACCGTAGCGATCCACCTACGTTCCCCCTCCGTTGAAGTAGATGCGCTTGCTATCCAAATTGCTTTTCCACGTTTATTTTGCCACTCACGGTGATCAGTGCGATTTACTGACTTGATCTCGCTTGACGATATCTATCGTAAACAAAACCCAAGAACGTTTGCGAAAGCTTAGGAATATGTTGACCCAGTGAACAAATGCAGTAGGTGAAATGAAAGATAAGAAACCAGATAGATCCGAGTAATTAAATCAAAAAAGTGACTACCACCCCAATATTATCACCTTTTATCCTAGTACGACAGTTTTTTCCTGAAATCACCGAAAACCGGTCAGAGTCATTGAGCGATTGGTTCTTAAGTATAAATCCCCAACGGAAGTGTTTTTGCAGATGAAGTGGATCCATTAGCTTTATATCGTCCATCGAGATCCCATTTTATTTGCAAATATATTTATAAGAATTGTAGCTTCAGTTTTTACAATTGGTAATCATGCACTTGCGTGCGATGATTTTGGTCACCCTTTTGTATATAAGTATGGGGAAAAGATTGAGACGTTGAGAGCAGTGCCCAAATGAAAATGGAGAATTTATGAAGATTAAGTTTGCAAACATATTAAGAAGATAGACGAGCGCTACTGTTTCCGACACCCAGTGTCTTTAACCATTTCAATTTCCCATCCGGGGAACCTAACGCGACCTATATAAGTCACCTGGTTAGGACTTGCACACCCTCATGCCAGGTTTTGACCGCAATTAGCATTTTCTCATTCACTGGCTGCCTC